AAAAGGTTCGAGGACATTTGTGTCGAAACAATGGTTTTCTTTTGAAGACGATTGTGTATAACGAATAACATCATCTTTACCCTTTCTCGTTCCGATTCCAACTTCAAACGTGATATTTTCATGGTGTTCAAATCCCTTCCATTTTACACACAGTTTAGATGGATACAGTAGATAATCCAGATCGGAAAACTCTGAAGAATCAGTATCAATAACAATACCCGGTCCGGGAGGAATTTGAGAGGGAATCCGAAATGTCTTTGACTTTGCACTCGCAATGTGACCTGCTTTGTTAGTAACTATTACTTCTACCAAATACTCGGCCGAGTTCTCAGTTTTTGAGAGATGAAGACGTTGAATAGGGTATATAATGCAGTCAGCCATGTTAGATCGTGGACAATCATTTTTACTATAATGCTGCAGAAAAGGGGTGACGAATTTAGATCCCTTACCTAAGAGAGAAAAAATATTTCAAATGATATTAAAGGCAGAAACTGAAAATACGTAATTACCGAACAGAAATTAATTTTATTTGAAAATATATTACCTATTCGAAACAGAATAGATTTCACTGGATCTATCTCTTCCTGATCAATGAATGTATCATTTTGCCATCCAATATAAATATTTCCATTTTCAATAACCAAGTCTAGTTCTTTAACGAAAACAACTGGTGTAGAATCAATAATCATTGGTCCTACTCTAACAGTTTCCGCAACTCCAGCCTTGTTTATGCTTTTGATATACATCCAAAATTTTTCTGCACTTCGTAACCCGGAATGATATTTAATATATCTTGGTCTACCTAATGTTTTTGTGTAGGAGAGAAGAGAAGGACTAAGATATTCCGAATCTGATTGACCAAATCCTACAAAAAAGTCATCTAGTTGAGATTCAAAATCACGAAATTCCCATGACACTTGGATCTTATCCGACGGAACATATATTTCTCGATTGTGGAATGGAGGAATTTTTTCACAGATCCCCTGAGAGTATATCTCATCTACATCTTCATTGTAAACTTGAGGCAAATTCTTAATAAATCCCGGAAATGTAAAATTTTTACAAATTTGAGTACATCGAGACAAGTTCTTTAACTGCATCTTTGTAAGATTATCCAAAACTATAAAAGGGTTGTCATTTTCATCACAAGCAATACCCTCTTTAGTTGTAAAACGTTGTCCCGTAAAATTAAAGATTTGTACTGGAGACAAGTCGTACGTAATACCGTCTGAACAGGCAACCTTTGAACGTTCTCCCGCATTATTGAATGCAATTACGGATGCTACGTACTTTCCCTTTTTAGGGAAATAAAATCGAACAGACTTCTTAGTTGTATTTACAGTAGTAAGGGTTTCGTTTGCTTCGAGGTTTAATATTTCATTCGATCCGAGGCATCTTGAGAACAAGAAGACTTGATAAAACCTTATTCCGCTCTCATGGTCGATAAATCCATCCCAGTTTACAATAGTATTATTTTCGTTGGTAAAATCGTTGTCCTTTTCTCCAGGAGCACCCTCTCTTACCACACCTTGCACAGGCGCGGATTCATCAACAAGGATATCTATATGATCGATGATTTGCAAAAATGCGTTATTTGTGACGACGAAAGTAAAAAAGTATTCTCTATTATGCAGCCCAGTGTTTTTATTATTGCTCATCAGTTTCGACATATCTATGTTGTACCTTGAATTTTCACATGGACCGTGGGAAGGACAATAGCATTCTTTGTCCATGTTGCAGAATGTCTGAAATTTTAATGACATCATTCATGTTAAGGCGTTCGAGCTAAAGCATACAAAATAAAAATATGCATTATTATGAGATCTGTTATAATTAATAATGATACAAGCATCTGTTTTTCTTACCGCGTTAGGTAAACGATTTACAGCTAATGTTCCATTTCCAATATCCATCGAGTTTAACTTGGTGCCAAAATACCACTGTACGGATAGAATGCCACTGTGTACATCTTCAATAGTCAAAGCCATATTCATTTTAGACAGCTCTACAGTGTTGTGTACAAAAAGGCCTTTAAATTCTTCCCTTTCTAAGCCTATATTAGTTATTTCTGGGACAGATGTATCAATGAAAACTTCGGCAGTATCTTCATCAAAGTTACCCATGATATCAGTAGCAATGACCTCCACACTCACAGTATCCCCATCGTGTAGTGTTAAGTTTGTACATTGTGCCTGTGTCAGCAAGTCGCTATGGCTCTTATTAAGTATTCTCTTTACCCCGTTTACTGTGATAGTAAAGTTAAATTCGACAATGCCATCAACATTAACAGTCCCATTTCTAGGCAAAGGATAATCGTTGTCTTCATAATCTTCAGATATCAAAACATTTTTCTCAATCGCTTTGAGAAGATTAGTGTCTTTGTGAAGGGTATTATAAAATCGCCCAGTCCAGTCAAAACAAAGCTTTCTTTTCTTGGTTTGCCAAATCTTGCTTGAAACATCATCAGCTGTTGTAATAATAAATTTTTTCAATGGATCTTTTTGAATTTTTGAGCAGTTATCGAAAAGAGCAAATCTTCTGGCCATTTGTGTATTCCCCTCCCCAGCATTATCCACAACTTCCAACCGAATTTCATACAGACCACAGCCGGAAAATCGAACGTGTTGAAGTTTCGAATCGTTTGAAACTCTAGTATTATTTGCATCTGCTTTAGTGTCAACTTTAAGTTCAGTACCATCACCACTTATTCTATATACAGTTATTTCATAGTGTCGTATACCAGAGGCATTAACCCTTGAGCTTTTAAATACATCCTGATCTTTCCAACCATCAATACCGATATTTATTGCAGGCGACCTTGTAATCGGGTTGTCAATCTGCATTATATCTAAACCTGAGCAATTTTTAAGTATTTTGCAGTGGACTGGACTTAGTCTGTCATACCAGAAGCATACTTCTCTGCTTTCTGTTGTTTCTCCTTGATATTGTTTGGAGGATACTGCATGGTGATCGTATTTATTGATCGTTCTTACATACCCTTTGCCGATTGCTTTGAAATTGAAGCATAGCCTGCAACAAAAATTCATTTTGTTTATCAAGTCTAAACGGTACAAAGTTTCCCCTTGTCATTTAAAGAAGAAGGCGATTTAATAGTGGAAAGAAAGGAAAATCAGTTTGTATGAAGTGGCTTCCCTTTTACGAATGAATGCTGATCCAGTATAGTTTCAAATATTCTTTCGAATTATGTTACATACGGGTCAACAGAGATACTGAACCCCAATAAATGACATGATAGAATTTGGAAACCTTTCATGTATTGAAGTTTTACTAGAATGGAAATGGTGAATATATCGAACAGGCCGGGGTTAATTTCTAAAATTTAAGAAAGACACAAATAGTATGTAAAGAACTAAACTTTATGAAAGTGTGATGACTTTTATTTTTCTGTAATCAACTTTATTCCAATATGCAAAATCATGTTCAGTGAACAATGATTTCTATAACTGACAATTTAGTTGATGATAGACAGAAGTCAACTCTAGAGTCAACATTGTCAACATTTCTCATATTAGATGGTCGATATTAACAATGTACATGTTTGCAAATACAATCTGTCATTAAAAAGAATGTATACTGCTGTCTACCTTTAACACGATTTTGTTAAGCCATTATTTCCAAATAATTCATTCATTATTTATTTACTGAAAATCGCATTTATGGATTTCCTCGTTTAATTGATTATGCCAAAAAACACAGCGGGTGTGACCTTTTGAAAAGGGGTGATAACCCCTCCTTTGTATCTATTACCATTCCTGATTTGAAAGGTCCGTGTTTACGCCGCAAATAATTTGTAATTGTTATTTGAACTTTGAGTGTGATGATGATTTTCACAAATCAATGTTTAAATGGAATACTCAATGCTTCAAACTGTCCACGATTATCTTCATCGATTCAATCATGACAAGGAGCACACGACAGATGTGACCAAATGACACCAGATGTTTACTCCTCAATGGCACTCTACTTGCAGTATCTATTTTTAAAAGACTCTTGAATAGGATAACTGTTTTCTTCACATTCCACATAAATAATTATTACTTATTCCAAAATTATTGAAACAAGTAGCCAATCCTTGTACATTGAAATCTTGCGAAGCATTTTAACTATATGTGACTTTTAGGGTGAATATGTAAATATATTAGCAAATACGGAATTTTCTCTTGATATCTATACACAACAAATTAAATTAACAAACCTTTCGCCATTTTCCATTTGGATAACTGATGTACTATTTTGTTGCTTCAGGTTCACTGTATCCTTAATGTTCTGTTCAGTGACATTGTCTGACCCAAGATCATGGACATAAATGCGACGAACTCTACCTAAAACAATATATTTTGGTACAAAAATTGAATAAGTACATGTATCAGTAATACAGCATGAATAACCTTTACATTTTCTTAACTCTTCAAAGTTAGGTTTAATTTTCTAGCAAACTATGATATCTGTAAACGAAAATAAGAAGATATAGTATTAATTGCCGAATGCTACTTCTATGACCAAATTATTTTTGTAAGTTTTTCTGTCTTTCATACCATCTCATTAACAAATAGTGCGTATTTATTAAACCATTGCGTAGAACTAAGTTTCAGAAAAAAGATTCAAATAAATAAAAGAAATAGTCCTCACATGGATAATTACCTAGACGTGTTATCTTACGTAACTCAATACGACCACCACCCACTCCGTATTGAAAGTCGTGTATGTAGTCAGGCTTGGCGGTAGGAGGTGTTATAGTGAGAGTGAATTGTATTTCGTAGTTAATTTTGTTCACCACGAAATTGATAAAATTGTCCCTCTGATCCTCACAACGCGATGAACGATTCGTTTTCTTCAGCATAACGTGTTCCCCATGAATTCCTCCAACTCCAGCAAAACATGTCGATATAGAGGGGGGACGATGAACTAATAAGTAAAATATGAAAATATATAGTTGATGAACAAGTTAGGAATAGTCTATCACTTTTTTCTAATGTAAAATTCGCAATTCCCAAAGCTAAATAAATATATTGGAATTCAAAATCTTACGGATGCATTTGGATTTTGTGTTGTCCTTGGATGTGATAAAACCATCCGTACAGGTGCAAGAACTCGCTAGATTGTCCGAGTCACATGTTCCAGGCCAGCACTCTCTGTTTAAATGGGAACACATCCCTAAAAATATTAAAATTATATTTTAGTCACATTTTGTATGTAAATTTATTGGTTGTTTAAAGTTTGAAATTGCTTTTTATGTTTCGTTTGATACTTTACTCTGTGTGATTTTGAAAGACAAAACGTACAAGCACATTCTTGACCTCCACGAATGCTTTTTACAGGTAGTGCTGGATCGCATTTATCACATTTCCCAGTAGATCTCAGGTAACAATCAATGTTTGGTTCACTACATTGTGGAATCCTGCATTTATCTAAATTATAAAGATCCCTCTCGTTCGAAATAAAACAGATGAAACTTTACGTATAAAAAGAAAAAAAAGCTTTATCATGAATTATAATTATTACAACATATATTTTCAGTGCAATTTCTCTTGAAAAAACTAATGAAATAAAATACACATGATTTAAATTATACCTTGAGCGTCAACATAAATTGCAAACTCATCTGCAGTACATCCTCTGAAACCGTGATCTAAATAATAAAATGAACAAACACATATATTTCCTTTAAATCTCTATCTGCTATATGCTTTTTTTCTATAGAAGACATATAATTACTTTTATGTCACTATAATTTGTAACCTAAAAATGTTCCAAACTTTCGTAAAGACTCCAAAACTTCAGTCTAATGTATGAACTTACTTAATCACAAACATATTACCCAGCCATTTAGTACGGGTACTTCCACAACTGTACACTATGTGAGGACGAGTAGAATGTTTGTCCCAATCACAGCATGTTCCTTGTGTGACCACCAGCCACCCAACATCTACCCCGCAACCTCCGTAGTTCCTGTTAATCATGAAGTGTCGGTCCAGGTGGTTGTCACTAAAATTATTAAATATTGATTCTCCTAAAACGACGTTATGTTGTTGGAAGAAAAAAGATGCCCAAAGCATTATTATTGTAGCATTTTGGGTTTTTAAGATTGAATGAGATTGTCAAACATACCTTGTTATACCAAAATAATTGTAAGCATCCCAGCTATGCATATCACTGTATGACGAATATGAAATCCTGTGTTGGGACATCCAGTTCATCTTGTTCGTTCCATATCCTGAAAACTCTATTCGTTTCTGTTCAACGGAACTCTTGTACACAGCAAGTTTAACCTTTCAAAATAAAATTTTTCGAATAATATGGATATAGTAGTAGAAATGAGCTTTTTAAGACTTTTTCTTTTTTATGGTCGTTTTTCATGATTTTTTAAATTTTGAATTTCGCTAAAGGAATGCAACTTAATAAATTAATTTCAAACTTGTATATGACTAATAGGAAAAATATCAAATGATATTGTAAATCCTAAATATGAATTAAAATTGATAGTCTCATTGCAATAATGACTAAGAGTAAAATTGGTCATTCTATGGAGAGATGACCTAATCAGAGATTATAGCATAAAAATTTAATGAAGCGCATCAAAGTGATAAAATGTACCGTTTGAATGGAACATTTTGAGCTATCTTTAGAACATTGATCGTCATATAAAGACACGCTCATTTCTTTAGAAAGGAAAAATGGTCAAATGGTTCATTCAAATACCCGTCTATCAGATATTCCATAAATATAACAGCCAACCAAATTGGTGCTCTATATAATCACCGAGTAAGCACGATATCAACAGATACATTATCTTATAGTAATTCCAATAAACGTGACAAATTAAAAATATGTACAACTTCGTTGCAATACGTGTTCCACAGAAGCGGGCTCTCTTTAACTCTCCAATTTAATTTTTTAAAATATCCATTTAAGGAATCACTGCCTAGTTAGTGTAGTATGCCAGGGCATCAACATTTTACAATAGTGGGAAACATGGGATAATTTGCATAACGGGCTTCGCCCGTTATGCATAATTTATCCCATGTTTCCCACTATTGTTGATGCCCCTGGCATACTATACTAACTAGACAGTGATTCATTATATTTCCATTTCATTGTGAAATAAAATTGTAGATTTAGACTTTAAAGATTCAGACATAGATTTGAATTACACGAGGATTCCTATCCCAATTTCAATAGGCCTCGCCGACTGACGTCAAACACAACGGCAGCCGCACGAAATTTTCATGCATATTTGGCCTTGTTGCAACCACTATTGAAATAACGACCACTATTGAAATAATTATATCAATAGTGGTTGAGAGTGCATTTCAATAGCAAACATAGTTAGAAACCACTATTGAAATACGACCACTATTGAAATAATTATATCAATAGTGGTTGAGAGTGCATTTCAATAGCAAACATAGTTAGTAACCACTATTGAAATACGACCACTATTGAAATGATTATATCAATAGTGGTTGAGGGTGCATTTCAATACCAAACAGAGTTAGTAACCACTATTGAAATACGACCACTTTGACTATTGAAATAATTATTTCAATAATGGGTGAGAGTGCATTTCAATAACAAACATAGGTAATAACCACTATTGAAATACGACCACTATTGAAATAATTATATCAATAGTGGTTGAGAGTGCATTTCAATAACAAACATAGATATTAACCACTATTGAAATACGACCACTATTGATATAATTACTTCAATAGTGGTTTAGAGTGCATTTCAATAACAAACATAGATATTAATCACTATTGAAATACGACCACTATTGAAATAATTACTTTATTGGTGGGTGAGAGTGCATTTCAATATGATTACCATAGGTTTCAACCACTACGAACACAACTTGAATAGTGGTTGAGAGTGCATTTTAATACCAAACAGAGTTAGTAACCACTATTGAAATACGACCACTATTAAAATAATTATTTCAATAGTGGGTGAGAGTCCATTTCAATAACAAACATAGTAAATAACCACTATTGAAATACGACCACTATTGAAATAATTATATCAGTAGTGGTTTAGAGTGCATTTCAATACCAAACATAGTTAGTAACCACTATTGAAATACGACCACTATTGAAATAATTATTTCAATAGTGGGTGAGATTCATTTTAATAACAAACATAGGTTGCAACCACTAATAATTGAAATAATGTTCACTTTTGAAATAAAGATTTCAATATGGACTATCAAAATAATTATTAAAATCACTTTTGAAATTATAATTTCAATAAGTATCTAAATCTTCATTTAAGGACAGATGATACAAACAAAGTATGGATGCCTGTATTGGTACATTTTTTTTTGTTCTGATTTCATTGAAAATGATGCAAATAATAAATTTCTTTCTATAAAGAAATTATAAACATTCTGAGATGTTCAAAATTTTGCCTCACTAGAATCATCCTTATCAATTTATAAACTTTAATCATTAATCTATATATTTTTCACCCAAAATCCAATTTTTGTGAAATTTTGGATAAATAAAATTTACGCGGTGAAACTTTTCTTTCTATACTGGTCGTATTTCAGTAGTGGTTGAAACCTATGGTAATCATATTGAAATGCACTCTCACCCACCAATAAAGTAATTATTTCAATAGTGGTCGTATTTCAATAGTGATTAATATCTATGTTTGTTATTGAAATGCACTCTAAACCACTATTGAAGTAATTATTTCAATAGTGGTCGTATTTCAATAGTGGTTAATATCTATGTTTGTTGTTGAAATGCACTCTCAACCACTATTGATATAATTATTTCAATAGTGGTCGTATTTCAATAGTGGTTATTACCTATGTTTGTTATTGAAATGCACTCTCACCCACTATTGAAATAATTATTTCAATAGTGGTCGTATTTCAATAGTGGTTACTAACTCTGTTTGGTATTGAAATGCACTCACAACCACTATTGATATAATTATTTCAAGAGTGGTCGTATTTCAATAGTGGTTACTAACTATGTTTGCTATTGAAATGCACTCTTAACCACTATTGATATAATTATTTCAATAATGGTCGTTATTTCAATAGTGGTTGCGACATGGCCTCCTTAGTGTCAGACTCAGGGACAGATGCGCACGAGATTTGCATGCGTACTAGGCCTCCTTAGATCCTGACCTATCGACATGCATAATTTACATTCCGGCAGAATTACCAGGAAATCAACTCCGCTTACTTTCAAAGGTTTATCATAGAGAGAAAAAAATAGAAATGGAAATATTTCAGTGTAACTCATGTTGCTAGTCGCAAAGAGTGAGTTGTCCTAAAGTATAAACGACGAATATTTCTTTCTCATTTCTAAATAAATGGGCGTGTCATTATGTAACAATAGACATTCGATAAGAAACACCCAATCTCTCAATTCAAACGAGAGTTTTTACCACTTCAATGTGCTTCATTGTAATTGTTTCAAATGAACAACATGTACATGCATATGTGCGTTTCAATGCAGTGGAATGCGTATTTAATCATAATACTACTAGTATGCCCATTTCTAAAACTAAATCTGAAAAAGAACTGTGTTTATTTTGAATTTTTACCAATTCCATGTGTGTGTGTGTAAAGTTTTCATTTCCGGGCGATATTTTCCCACCTGCTCTTCTTAAAGCCCCCCCCCCCCCCCTCCGATCTGCAAACGCTCTTCTTTTTTTCCTTAAACGGACCGCAGAAACATGGCTGAAAAATTTCCCACTCGGCATTAACCAATATATAATCAATCAATCAATCAATCCTTAAACAGGGGACTCTGTTTCTCTGAGTTTGTTTTATTTGGAACACTTTGATCAAACAAACAGGGAAACTATGTTTCGTAATTGTATTCCAACGTGATTGAATGATGTAACATCAATGTTGGACTTATTTAAGGAACCAATGTCTAGTTAGTATAGTATTCCAGGGCATCAACGATAGTGGGAAATGTGGGATAATTTGCATAACGGACGAAGCCCGTCGTTGATGTCCCTGACATACTATACTTACTAGACAGTGATTCCTTATATTTCCATCTCATTGTGAAATAAAATTTTAGATTTAGATTTTAAAAAGTATACTAATAGATTTAAATTACACGAGGCCTCCCATGTCAATTTCAACAGTCCTCGCCCACTGACATCAAACATAAAGGCAACCGCACGAGATTTACATGCATATTTGGCCTCCTTAGCGTCAGACACAAAAACAGACATGCACGATATTAACGTGCTCCTGATCTATCAATTTGCCTAATTTACATTCCAGTAGAATTATCAAGAAATCAAATCCACTAACTTTCAAAGCGTTATCACATAGAAAACAAAAAGAAATGGAAATATTATCACTTGTGTTTTTATTTAATTTTAGCTCACAATACAAATATGCTTATGAAAATGTATTCATAAACATATCGCGAAAACAAGAAACAAAAAATAAACAATAAAAGTATTTTTCTTCCTAGCGAAATTGTACCAAAAAATAAGTATATGCATTAAGAAATTCTATTCATGATCAGTGGATAATAATTCTACTATTCTTACTTTATTCACTGTCATCTCAGTCCATCTATCCACCAATTTATTTTTGTAATGTGTGCCACACCGCCGACCGATTTTGTTGGCACAAGAGACACCTACTCCTCTAGTTCCACTCCGAGTCCATAGATTGTATATATCATTGCTTCCACCAATTACTCCGCCTGCTCCACGGAAAACCATCACCCATCGCTCTGAGGATATTTCTTGAACAGTAGCTTAAAAAGTATAATAATAAAGGATTGAAAGAAAATGTTATAATTTTATAAACGACGGACATGCATTTCTAGAAGATATGTATTGCCTACCAATAAGGAAAATTAAGAGAAATTGGAATGAACCAATTTTTTTGCGTGTTCTTCGATATCGGGCCATCTTTCAAAATGTTGAAAAGTACAGGTAAAGTGTATTGATTTTTCTGATGACGTTTAGGAACAAGAACTTGTTAGCCTTTCAAGAAGAAATGATATAGTTGTATGTTTAAACAAGAGATTTGATACTATAAGCGCTGTGTCAAGCGCTGTCGAGATAAATCTGTTGCTTACAAGATTGATCTAAATTTGTTTCTTTTCCAGTTATGTCTTGTTCTTTTTCTGTCAAATTCAAGACATCCTTACTATAATGCTACTTCGTTTAGCCAAAGATGAGATTTTTAAGAGGATGCACGCATTATCAAAATATTTATTGATGTTTCAAATCTTTTAATACCATAAACAATTTATTGAACTGACAAAAATAGGAAACTTGTTTGTCCATGTTCATAAAGCAATACTTTTAACGTAAAAACCATTTTAAACGCAATTTGTTTTCCAAATCCACTCGAGGGAGTGTTGAAGAACTAAGCATTTATTTAATGCTGAACAAGTCGATGGCTGTAAGGGATACCGAAAACACACACAAAAGAAAAATTTTTGCGACAACATAAATATTGCGTACCTGAGCAAATTTTCAGGGGGAAAAAATCAGTTCCGAATTTACTGATGAACAATTTCTAAAACGAGGTTATTTATTGACAAACAAGTTGATGAAACAAGAATTTCAGCTGTCTCGTTTAAAGTCATCATCTCATAAGTTTTATGGTCGATACAATGGTGTGTTCCCGTTTTACACACATTTGATAATTAGGTATAGAACAATAGGTGTGAAGTGTGTTTTGATAGCAATTATAGTCTGATTTCTGGTTGTAAATCTACCTGGATTTACCTGTGAAAACCTGATTTAGCTTAATGTGTTCTTTAGAGGTTTTTAATACAATTTTAAAAGTATTTTATTAAAATTCTATATATATTTATGGGAAAATATTTTATTTTATTGAATAAATTATTAATATTTATTTAATATTATTTATTAATTAAGTCCATTTTTAAAAAAAAAAAAATACTTTTCAATCTTGATAAAATTCTAAATGAATTAAAGATATAAAAAAAATATAAAGAAAATAGAGAATAAAAATTAATTTGAAAATCATGCCCAAGCCAAGAAGAAGTTAAGATCATCAGATAATTATAAGATCAAAGTGCCAATCGAGTCATCAATACTTATAAGTAGTCAAAACACAAACGCAAAAGATAAGATTCTAAAAACGATCCATTTATACAAATGTGAGCAGGGAACAAAAAAAATCAAAACCAAATTTTATCAGACATAGTGTCAATCTCTCTGTTTATTTACTGATTATTAGTTATCCTATTTTTCAATAAATCGCAATAGATCTGAACAATGCAAATAGTGTCTTAGTAAACTTGAATCGGTAGGGGATATTTTGATACGAAATCGACATCTTCCATTGGTTGTATATTTCACTTCCTAGTTCCATTTTATCCTTGTAGATCATTCAATTCCAAATATTGTTACATCTAAGATTTTTGGTAACATTCTCTTTGAAAATTTAATTATCTGTTACAAACTAAAGCTTGGCGTAAATAACAGCTTTGACATTGGTTCATGATGCAAAGTAAATTCATCATAACAAAAGAACTGGAAATCATTTTCATAACTTTTGTGTCTAAAATTACTTTATGCGTTTTCTTTCACGAGATACATTTTTCTTAATGTACACGAAGTGGATCGAATAAGACAATTTTCCACTGTATACATAATCAGCCTTGAAAATTTTCATATGACTTGTTAGATCTTAAATTATTTTTTTTTTTATTATTTGTGCGTCATAATTTTAAAAAAATATCTTGGATCTAGGATGTCTGTTTAAAATTATTTGTTCTCTTGTAAAACGACAACTGGTGTGACAGGAAAATCAATCGATCCTTAGATAAGATACCCCTGTATTGAACTGTAGGTCATATCCGAAATCTTATCACGATTGTTGAAATCGGTAAGAATTTAGCTGAAACCTACAGTTAGACATCATAGTAATTATACTTGCGAGCAAGTGGATTGAAGATCTGTAGAAATTTGCTTTGGTGGTATGTAAAAATTAAATCCATGCTACTATCTTATAATCATAGACTCGATTTTTGATGCTTTAAAACATACAGAGAGAATCCGTTTTTTTTTTTTTTTTTTTTTTTTAATATTACAAAAATACCTATGCTAAAATTTTATATACATGTAATACTTTTTTTAAATTTTAGATCAATTTGTAGTATTGACATTCTAAGATCCGGAATATTTAATATATCCCTGGGCCTTTACATAAATGATTGATATTTACATCGTTGTCAGTGGGGACAAATTAAACAAACGGATCCTTTCATTTTTTTTCTAAAGTCGAATGGCCGGTATATATATTTTGAAGTCTTGCAAAATGGGATGCTATCTTTTATTTCCATTCAGTAAATTCAATTTTTAAAAATGTTTTTATTATATCTGGAAGAATGTCTAATGCGGCCAATTTTAATAAAACTGGTGGTGTATAAGACAACTTTTACAGTATGCTGCCCACGAAGAATTATATACAATGCTTATCTCTATGCAAATCCTAGCATTTATTTTTTTTAAATTAATTTTTTTGTAACATGAAAAAAATTGCTTCAAAATAACATTTAGGCTTTTTTAAAAGTCAATCTATGCATCTACAATGTATCCATCATCATCATCATCATCATCATCATCATCAACGATAGTTTAGTAATAATAAAAATACTTTGATTTATTTTTGTGAATACTATGGAAATGTTATTCACAATAGTGAATACTATTATGCTTTAATTGACTGATGTAAAATCTTTGAAACTTTGATTTACTTCAGCTAAAGAAATGTAACCTAAATGTATTGGTACTGTTGATTGTAGCTAAATATAGTCGAAACATTACACTTAACAAAACTTCTAAGTGTTCCCTCTAATAAATGCATTTATCTAAAAACTACACAATAGAATTGTATATTTTCAAATTTTTGCAACCAATGACTCTTCTCAACAATTGTTGAAAGAAAATTAACTATCACCGATGAAAACCAGTGCCCCGCGACGAAAATTAAAAACAATAAATCTCTACTTTGCGGCATGTGTTTTGAGTCAGCTTCTTTATGCGACCATTATCAATTTTTAACAACAGGTATAACTTAAAAAAAACACAAAAAATGGACAGAATTGCCATTGAGGGGGAAGGAAAGCCATTACAATGTTGATATCTGGATCATCCTTACGACATGTTTTATTCTCTTTTATTTTAGTGTTTATTTGTCCTAGATATTACTTTTAAGAATAAACAACAAGTATAAAAATCCATTTAAATACATTTTTCTATAGAGTTTGCGTCATTGTTATCGTAAATTTTTCACAATTTGAAAGCTTTGGACAAAATTTAATCAAACCGGAAGTGATTTAGATCTTTGTCTGAGGCCAATGTTTCGCGTCAAATCCAACTTAAAAGTTTGTTATACATAATCCTAAACCACTTTAGAAACATTTCAATCAGCACCTTCAGTGGTGTAAAATGGCGTCAAATTGGTGTTCATACATGTAGCAGTCCAGTACCACCTCAAACAGTCTGAACCATATATAGAGAGGTATGTTACAACGCACTTTGAAAAATTACGCACTTTGAAAAAAAATTTCAAAGTGCGTTAAAATTTGGGACCAAGCTAACGCACTTTGAAAAAAATAAATTTTTTTTCAAAATGCGTTAATATCGACCATATTAACGCACTTTGAAGAAAAATGTAAAGATTGATCAATATTCCTTCAAATAATCGGTATGATAAAAAACAAATTCTGGTTTGATAATTTTTTCATAATAAAGTCACAGTAGGACCTGAGATATTGACGTTTTAAATATTTAAGGTTTTGATAAAATAAAAGGAAAAATTAAAGGGTCTTGAAAAAATGAGTGACGATTGTTTAAGTTCATTAATTCGTTTCTTCTTTTTTAAATTCTAGTCTTTGATAAGTAGATGTAAAGGTGTATAGGGGGTACTAACAGAGGACAGCTTCAAGCAACTTAGCATTTATCATAATAAAAAGGGGCCAATTTGATTGTTCAAAACTATGAAAATTCTTTCTCTCTCATACGTTTTACTGTACTTAAAAATTTCTTGTTTTCATCTGTTTTAATTAACTCATTTATTATTGAAAGTTTTCAACGTCATACCAGTTAGGTTAATACATAATTATATGAATGCTTTGAGTATAGCATAGACATCGTGACTGGGCGAAGGGCCAGGGGAGGGGATGGGGGGCTAAGCCCCCCACTTATTTTGGAAAGATATACATCGTATAAGCATTGAAAATGCAGCGTACCCTTTCTGGGTTTATTGCTCCCCTCCCCCGTTTGTTACCGACACCTATGTATTGGAAAGATAAAGATTTGGACTGAGGGATCTTATACCCGTCTTCTCCTCTTTTGGACGGGAGTAAATCAATTCATTTTTGAGGTTAGGGTTAGGCTTAGTTTTTTGAAAGATAAAAAAGTAAAATAACAAATAAAATCTTTCCATGCCTAAAATATGATTTTTTTTCAAAGTGCGTTAAGTGTCTCCATGGTAAAATATACTGATGTAGAATCTTAACGCACTTTGAAAAATTTTTCAAAGTGCGTTGAGTTGGTCCCAAATTTAACGCACTTTGAAAAAAAATTTCAAAGTGCGATGATATTGTCCCAATTTTAACGCACTTTGAAAAAATTTTTCAAAGTGCGTAATTTTTTCAAAGTGCGTTGCCACAGAGGTACACTTAGGTCGAGACGCCAAAGGAGGGTCTAAATGTTGACCAAAAAGCATCTGTTTGATGCATTTGGCTGCCTAGTCCTCAGATATGAATCCGTTAAACATATGGGACTTTTAAAAGGAATATCACACCCACCCCCCCCCTTCCACACACTTTCAACGGTTTAGAAAGATCCATGTACTAGGTGTCGCAGCAGATAGGTTAACCTCCTATTCGAAGGGTACATGGTACCTATGAGAAAAGGATGTCTTTCAGTAATTTGAGCGAAAGGAAGTCTTATTCTAAAGCGATTATTTTTATGTGAATTTTCATTTTCACTTACACATCGAATTGACGACCGAGTTTTTTTCCCCATCTTTTCGATATTTATCATGACAAGGAATACACTGCAAGTGTGACCGGTAGGCATGGGATGCTCACTCCTTTATGATAACACATTCCACCTCTGATGTTTCATAGGTCCGCGTTTGCTCTGCTCCAAACATTGTATCGTTAAATGGATTTTTGAGCTTGAATACTGTTTCTTTATCTCCATTACGATTTTTTCACACACACCTGTGACCATAACTTTTTTTTTATTACAGTTCATGTACCTGTACCATGGAGTCTGGCATTTACATTGTGTTATTCTGGCACCTCGTGATAACACATGCCTACTGGTTTGAAAACGGATTTCAACATCATTATACTTATTCTTCTACCACAAATACTTTGGGAGCTTATAACGTATCAACTGTTATAAAGGTACTGAATCAAGTTGAAATATTCCATATACAATAACGGCATTGTTTTCCAAAAAAGGACGTGCACTGTGCACTAAGAATTGGATATTATTTTATCTCTCTCATTCTTTTTCTACAGTTTCAAATTCGAAATGTAAATGCAACTGATGGTGGAGTAAAATTGCATGAACTTCAAGTGGACAGTATTACCATAAAAACACAGGATGGCTACTGTATGCCTTAGCTTTTTGTACTTCCTCAGATTTGATTTAAACAGAATTAATTTTGTGTTATGAGTTAAAAAAGATTCTAAATGGATTTTGTTCATTAAAAATATAGTGTCAGTGTAATTTTTACCATACTTTATTTCTTCTAATATAATTTACATTTCAATTGGTTTTCAGATCAGTAGAATTTCAGCTTTTGTATCCCTTACGCACTCTCCATTAATGATGTAAACCCAAGAAAGAACCATTCACCGTCTCTTATTTCATTCCTTTTTTTAAAGAAAAATAAACATGTATGATTTATTATTTTTTTAGTTTTTGATAATCCGAAGAAATGGGACTTGACAAAAAGGTACTTTATTTTTTCAATTCATCAGTTTTAAACAGCTTTCAAAACTTTCATTTAGTACATGTACGGTATATAGGTTTGTTAAACAATTTTCTTTCATGTTTTAGTTTTCTTTTTGAACTGGAACCAAACGGACTTATTCAGTTCGTTCACATTCATCCAACCGATGAGTTTGAACTGCGAACAATTAAAAAGGCACTTGCTGGAACGCTATCAGCAAAATACGAAGTATACATTTTGTTTGCATTCTTGTTACTGCACCAGATAAGACGAAATTACGCAATTCTCTCATTTAAAAATTAAATCTCACTTTGATAACGTTATGTATATTTTCACAAGCATTCTGAGAATGACAACTGGGAATATGAATCAACTGAAATCGACCACGGAGGTAATTAACTAATCAATCTTTCCATTATTTTTAAAGGAAAAGATATAAAAATTAATAAATGAATATAAGTGTGTAAACTGTTTTATAGGAACACTTTCTCACAAATATCGAGGATCAAAATCAAAAACAGGAATTATTCTACATAAGCAACACAAAAGTTCTGATGAAATCAACAGACAGCACGATCGGGTAAGTTATGATCGCAAATACGACTTGTATTTGAATTTTCAAATATGGTCAGCATTTAGACTTAATTTGATATAATCGATTTGTTTTATATTTTGAAAGATTCTTCATTACGACCATCAAGGATTGATACATTATGTACATTCTGTTGACAACTTAACAACACACCATGTCAAAGATGAGGACGGCTTTCACTCGTAAGTACTACATATATATAGGCAAAGCCTCGTCCTAGACCGTGAATCTTGTCACCTCGGTGGAATTTCACTATCCCACACTCGTAGTAATGAATGATTCCATTAATCTCATATATTACATTTAAATTGTGTGAATCATAGAAATTATAAAGATTTATAATCAGAAAATTTTATATTTTCAAACACTAAAATAATATATATATATAAATTTAATATGCGTTTTACCTAATTGTAGGACTTCTCACGATGAAAGGGAACCTGAGATATCTGGAGGTATTTTTATGAAGCAGTACTTAAGTAAAATAAAATATTTAAGATATACATGTATACTTAATTAACGCTCAAAACCTTATTTCTTTATCAATTATTTTGATTTGTTTTTATACAGAATTTCCAACTATAAATGCGTTTGCAGAGAGTCATCTTCATTTGACGAATAAAAAGTGGGTTAATTATTTTTTTTGAATTTCTCATTAACCAATATATATATATATATATATATATATATATATATATATATATATATATATATATATATATATATTCTTTTTGCTGGAGAAAAGTTCTAAATTTTAAGAATGATGCACCTTGCTGATTATTAAAAAAACGGCAATTGTATTTTATGTATAATTACGGTAGAGTCCAAATAACCATTAATATGTCAGTAATTTCTTAAGTAAAATCCTGACTTACATGTATAGGATCGTAGCTGTTTTGTACATTCTCTTTTTACATCGAATAGTTCGGATAAAACAATAAGTCATCGATTCTGAATTTAAGGAAACTCGATAAGAAACCTGAAGGGAGTCGACATGAAGGACTTCGTCGAGAAGAAACAACCGTACGGCCTGTAAGTTATGTTAATGACTGTTAATAAAAGTCCCAGAGATAAGGGGAGACAAATTCAAACTGGTAAAATTTACTTTTCTTTGTATGTTAGTCTCACCATTTCTTATCAAACGCTGTCGTCGGTTTCTTTTTGAGTAAATTCTTTTCTAAACTAATTACTAGCCATGGAAGCCATATTCATATGGAAACAGCCTCATGAGTTAAATTAAATTTGAATAAGTCAGAACCCATCTGGATTGGGCCTTATTATGTATGGGAAGATTTATAATAGTAATGAAATATTTCATAAAAATCTCTATGAAACAACTGGAGAAAGTTTTTTAAAGTGATTTTTTATGATCCAATGGTTTTGTGTTTTATTATTCTATTGATGAAATATAAAAAAAAAACTTACAGTCTTCTTTTTTCGTGATTAGCGTTCGAAAACAATTTTGACACATACCTTTCTAATGAAACCTTTATATAACGAAATTATAATTTATAAATAATAAATTATTTGTTATAGAAAGCTCCAGAAAGACAGTCTCTCTCTAAAATAGAGAATCAATTAAATATATTGATGGACTGCGTACTTTCACATGCTGTCAGAAGTAAGTTAATTTTTTCATGTTACTTGTGATTACTTTACTTGTATATTTTAAAGTGGTAATTACAGTCATCTGAATATTAAACAGTAATTCCTCATGAAGGGTCTTTATATAAAGTTTAAAATCTTTAACAGTATATTTTTTAGACATAAATGTATCTTATAGAAGTATGTATCTATGTGGCATAATTTCATTTGAGTCCATTTCGTTTCTATTTTAACTTTTCTCTTTACTTTAAATGCGTTATTTTCAACTTTATAAAATATGTTTATATATAAAATACAGCTTTCAAAAATATTTAAAAATCAATTACATTAAGCTGATTGTCTCACGAAATTCTCAGAGTGCATACAGTATTTTTTTGAATAAAAGGAAGTCCTTAACCTTTTTAGGAATGATCGTGAAAAATGATGCATTCACAATCGTTTAATCCAAGCCCCAGAAAATATCGAATGGATGATCAATTTATTTTCATTGTTATAGTAAATTTTTCTTTCCTCAGATCATCCGAACAGAACGCGTTGTCTTCATTACCTTCGACATAATATATCTGCACTACAAAGTGATGATTTCAAGGATTACATGACTCGTATTCTATCGGTGAAGTGTTCTGCTGGGTATGAAAAGTGTCAGGAGGAAAAGCATGTGATGATCGGAATCTTGGTTCATTCTGACAGAGAGGATAATCAACAATTGATACATCAGATGGTTTTAAAAAATCCCGAAACAACGGAATCAGAACTGAGACAGTGCCTTATGCATTGCATTCACCTTCGTAGTCCGGAGCCGGTATAGCTAATTTATAAGATCTTCAATACATACACGTATAAAGAAGTTTCGGTTTTAACTAGCTCGATATCAAACGATTAATTATAATACCATTATATTATATCATGATATTATATTATATTATATTATATTATATTATATTATATTATATATTTTATTATATTAATAGGCAATAATCAGTACAATTGAGGATTTGTGTTTTGAGAACCATATTCAAATTAAAACAAGTAAGTTTTTGTCCTTTAGAGATTCTGAAAAAATCTAAATATCCAGAACATTTTTAAGTTGGGAAGGTCTATGTTTGTGTGTATGTTTGTCTGTATGTGATTTAGTCATAGATTTACATGTGTTTCTAAAGAGTTTGCTTAAAAATTTTGGTAAAGAATTCATTTATGCTGTCTTTTTGTAGATACATAACAGACAGACAGATGGACAGTGGAAAAACTAGATACTCCTGAATCTTCGATTACGGGGGCATAAAAGGTACTGATATTCTGAAGTAAATCTAATTGGTTAAACTTTTTTGTAATCTACAGTGTTGACTTCCATGAGTGAAATACAGAAAGGGGCGTGTTTAACTATCGGTGCCTTAGCGAAAACTTTGAAGGAAGACGGACAACTGAACGAGGCCAAACGGATAACACTGAAAATTGAAAACTGGTTACAGTATCACAATGAATGTAAGTATATCTATGATCTATTTAAGTACTAATAAGTATACCTATAGCACATTCATGAAATATATGGAGACATCGAAAAGTGTTCAAGTGTTAACGTCCCTCTCGAGAATTTTTCACTCATATGAAGACGTCACCGTATGTCGGTGAAGGGCTTCAAATTTAGACCTATACTCGTCACTCAAGGCCATTGAGCAGTTGGTGGGTTATGAGAGAACATGGATCTATTACTTCGACCATTTTTTTTACTTTATTTGAAATTTAGACTGTTAATAGGCCACACAATTATAGAAGATGCTTTAATTATGTTTGAAAACTCTCTTGTGCTTTCTGAGTATTTACCCGTTGCTGAGTAATAATAAATTCTCTTAAAGATACTAGACAAGCAAACTATTTTTACATGAACATCGCGTATTGAGCATTGCCTATTGCTAGTTTCCAAATTTCAACACCTCTGCCTCATGGAAACAGTCTAAATCTACACTCAGTTTAAAACATTTGGGATCGCATAAACAAACAGGCCTACAACCGCAAAAGATATCCGAAGTATGTACATAGTTATATAAGTTGTACTGTAATAGATCTCTTTCCAAAATGTACAAACTGGGTAAGATTAAGTGTGGACTCTATTGGTGTGAATATTGTGTCCCATTATTTACCAGAAAAAATACCAAAATTGACCTAGGCGAAAGTCCATACAACTTGAAACTTCGGTGTTTTCCTTTCCGAGTTTCGTCATGTGTAAGACGTCAACATATTTAAAAATAATCCTGCAACAGGTTTGTCAAATATTTTTACCTGCTCCGATACATACTTGGCTGTGTCCGTTTCAACATTGTTTACAACGTTGTTTGAGGTGTTGATCGTCATGTCACAATGCTGCTGTTGGTAAATACGGTCTCAAATCTGGTGAATACATGTATGTAGCGTTATGAACTGCTTGCGTTTGGATATATCATATGGGGACTAAAAATAAACTATATAATTAATTTCTTTGGTTAACACATTTATATGGACAATGTACGAACTGCATTTTTATAGAGAATCGCAAATAATGATATTTTTATTGTTCAGCCGAGTTCCACGAGATATATCGCCCCCGTGAGAAGCGTTCATTAGAGAAATCATACGAAAGAGAGGAAAACCACATAAGAATGAAGAGAACCTTGATCCACGCCCTTGGAAATGCCGCTCATCCCGATTCTCTGTCTTATCTACAATCTTACATAAAACATGACGAGGGAATGCCTTCATTACGGCGTACAGCATCTCATGCTTTGAGACACTATGAATGTCAAGAGGTAACGCTGCAAAAATTTCTTGTGGATAACTCTTTGTTACGACGGCGTATACGTGCCATTTTAACAATGTAGAATTTTTTTTTTAATCGTTTGTACGATTTATTAAATCGTTTGTACGATTTAATAAATCGTTTGTACGATTTAATAAATCGTTTGTACGATTTAATAAATCGTTTGTACGATTTATTAAATCGTTTGTACGATTTTATAAATCGTTTGTACGATTTAATAAATCGTTTGTACATGTACAATTTAATAAATCGTTTGTACAATTTATTAAATCGTTTGTACAATTTAAGAAATCGTTTGAACGATTTAAAAAATTGTTTGTACGATTTAATAAATTGTACAAACGATTTAACAAACAAACTGTACAAACGATTTATTAAATTGTACAAACGATTTACTAAATTGTAAATGTACTTATGAAAAAAACTTTAACCTTGACCAAAACTTTTGAATGGTAGGGACTAGGGCTTTCATACTTCACATATGTAATCCTTGTGAGATGACCTTTCATTAAATACCACGAACTTTGATCCTTTGACCTTGGAGTTTGACCTACTTTTCAAAAACTTTGACCTTGGCCACAACTTTGGAACAGTAGATTCTGGGACTTTCATATTTCACATATGCATTCTTTTTGGCAAGACCTTTCATTTAATACCAACAACCTTGACCTTTTGACCTTTACCTTGGACATTTTTTGTACTAATAAAAAACTTAAACCTTGACTATAACTTTTGAATGGTAAAGGCTAGGGCTTTCATACTTCAAATATGTAATCCTTATGAGAAATCTTTACATTGGATACCAAGAACTTTAACCCTTTGACCTTGACCTTGGATTCAGTGATGATTTCTAAATAAATGACATAACATATGATAGGGTGTTCATATTACACACAATACGTCATAAAAAATGACATCTCACCCACAATGACACCGAAAGCGGAGGACCACAATTCCTTGAATTTGCTTGTTTTCTTATACATTGTATATAGCCGTCGGTAGCAAATTGAAAGTGGACCCCCCCCCCCAAGTAAGCCCAATTTTCAATGCCTATAATATGTATATCTTTGCAAAACATTTGTGTGTCCAATCCCCCCTTCCGGTACCGATGCCTATGTTACACCCACATATATGTATTTGCATAACAAGTATGACGATGAAAACTTTCAATAAATTTTAGTTTACTTTAAATGCATGCAAACTGGAAAAAATCATTACAGTAAAACATTTAAGGGAGAAAAGAATTTTCAAAGCTTAGAAAAATCAAAATCGCTCACTTTCACATCCTGAAGTGACCTCATCACCGAAGAGTTATCAAACAGGTTAAATTATTTATCATACCTAAGATTTGAAAGAATATTGACAAAGCCATACACATTTTTTCAAAGTGCGTTAATATGGTCGATATTAACGCACTTTGAAAAGAAATTTTATTTTTTCAAAGTGCGTTAATTTGGTTCCAAATTTAACGCACTTTTAAAATTTTTTTGAAAGTGCGTAATTTTTCAAAGTGCGTTGTAACTCTGCCATCAATTATTATTATTCTTATCTAAATTCCTGCTTCATAGTCGTATGGAACGCCATCACTGCCTTATAGCATAAAACTATGCATTCATTATGTCAATCTATCATTACGTGATGTGAACATATCTTTACGTTATATCATTTTTTTATGGGGTGATGTAAAAATATCTTTACATCATGTCAATGCTGCATTACATGAAGTAAACACATTCTTCCATTATGTCGGCACTTTATAACTTGAAGACCAAAGTTCATTATGTGAAGTGAAAATATGTTTACATTGTGTTATAACTTAATTACGTGAAATGAATGTTTCTTTATATCATTTCATTTCTTTAATATGTGAGGTCAAAATTGCATTACGTCAAGTTAATTGCGTTTTACATGTGTTCTATGATTAAATTTATCATTACATTTAGTCAAAGTCCATTCCCTTTTGTGGGTGTATATTTCTATTATAACAAAGCATTATTACGTGATGTTAATGTATCTTTATTTTATGCCGAGGTCATCACAATGTGAGGTGAATACATCTTACCTTTATGTCAGTTCTTTATTACGTGATGTAAAAAGGTTAATAACATAATGTGAACATATATTATGGAGACAGTCACGGCGTTCCATATTATATCAACACTTTATTACGTTATGTCAAAACCCCATTCCTTTATGTGGATATTTAATACTTTCTTATGTGATTTAAAACTATCTTTACATTGTGTTAATTCTTTATCATGTTGATTACAAATGTTCATTACGCGCTGTAAAATACATTTACATTATGTCAAAGTTGATAACCGTGTTTTCAGGACTGGGAAGGGGGGGGGGGTCCTGATTAATTAGGACGAATTACAGACACATTATATGTGAGTGTATATTTCTATTATAACAAAGCATTATTACGTGATGTTAATGTATCTTTATTTTATGCCGAGGTCATCACAATGTGAGGTGAATACATCTTACCTTTATGTCAGTTCTTTATTACGTGATGTAAAAAGGTTAATAACATAATGTGAACATATATTATGGAGACAGTCACGGCGTTCCATATTATATCAACACTTTATTACGTTATGTCAAAACCCCATTCCTTTATGTGGATATTTAATACTTTCTTATGTGATTTAAAACTATCTTTACATTGTGTTAATTCTTTATCATGTTGATTACAAATGTTCATTACGCGCTGTAAAATACATTTACATTATGTCAAAGTTGATAACCGTGTTCTCAGGACTGGGAAGGGGGGGGGGGGGTCCTGATTAATTAGGACGAATTACAGACACATTATATGAAGGGGGGAGGGGTCTGACTTCCTCTTCTTTCCGACATAACTTTATCATAGAAATGTTCATTGAAATTCAGTCCCACTTTTTGCTGAAGTATAAGGGTAATGTAGTATATTTGGAATTTTTCAAAGGACTGATCGAAGTTGGTGAACCCCCCCCCCCTTCCTTTCACCCGAAATAGGATTTTCGAGTTTGGATTTTTTTTTCGCTTTTTCTTGTACGTTATTTTTTTCTGACTGACAACCCCCCCCCCCCAGCTTTCAAAAACGATGCAACGCCCACTGGAATTAGTAATTTTTCAACCATTCCAGGACCAGAATTCTGTAACAAAAATCTACGTTTTCACTTAAATTAACACGGGCTCAGATCAGTTGCGATCTTGGGTTCTTGAAATTTCATGCATATTTTGGTCACTAAAGATGGGAGGGCAGGATCCTCCCTTTCCCCACCGACCCACCAGTGCACGTATGAAATACGATGTATTTACACTTTTTTTTTTAAAAAAGGAGGGTTAAAGACTGATAAAAAGCTTAGGACAGTGTTTTGTAGTTAGATTAGAAGTTTCGGACTTTTCAAATCGTCAATAAAGATTCCATGGGAACATGATCCTATTTTTAATTTAACCTGATATTTAATTAAGGATTAATTAAGTCTTGTGTATAATTTAATATTTGATACGTTTAATTTAAATCATTTGCAAGTTTAACATATGTGCATGTAATATTGAAAACACAAAACGAACTTTTAGGCATAACCTAAACCTTACGTCACATAATAAAGAGTTGAAATATTCTAAGATATACTGACAAGAGGCTAAGCATTTTAGACACAATGTAGAGATACAATGGCATAACATAATAATGATTTGTCAAAAAGTAAGGGAAAATTGACATCATGTAATAGATTCCCGGCGTCATGTAGCATATTGATGACACAATATAGTAAAGAATTGGCCACATGTGACAATTTTTTTCACATCATATATGAAATTCTGACTTCGTGTTATAGCGACTTGATATTGAATTAAAGATAAATTCACATCATGTAATGAACTACTTAGACCAAATAGTAGAGAGTGCACATAATGTAATAATGAGTTTAAATTATATATTAACATCTTTACACCACGTAAAATTGTTTTGACTTAATGTCATAAAGAGCTGATATAATGCAATGGAAGATTGGCGCAACGAAGTGCGAGTTAATGCAATAAAGACTTAACATAATGTAATGGAAAGTTGACATAACGCAATAGTAGTGTGTGTTAATGTCATAAAGAGTTGACATAATGTAATGTAAAGTTGACATAACGCAATAGTAGTGTCTGTAAATGTCATAAAGAGTTGACATAATGTAATTGAAAGTTGACATAACGCAATAGTAGCGTTTGTAAATGTCATAAAGAGTTGACATAATGTAATGGAAAGCTGACATAACGCAATAGTACTGTAAGTAAATGTCACAATGTGTTGACATAATGTAATGGAAAGTTGACACAATGCAATTGTAGTGTTCTGCTATAAGGCAGTGACGGCGTTCCATATAGTCGACAAAAATTGGAGTACAATTAGTACCCATTGAGTTTTAAAGACGTTATTTTGTTGTCGACAGGATGTGACAAAGTCTGAGTTTTGTTTCTTTGAATAAGAAGTCCCTGGTATAAATTTTTATTCATAGTTAGAAATTGATAGAGACTTTTGAAAAAAAAAAAAATATGTGATTTCAAATTTTCTAAATGTTCCGTATAATTTTTTAGGATCCAACCTTATTTACACTTGTTCTAGAGTATGCAGTACTACAGTACCTCTAAAGATTCTCCTTAAATGCAGTTAATAATTTTTGAGAGACTGACAGGCAGACAGACAGACAAATGAAGTGTAAAGAAGTCATTTGGTGCCGCTCTCTCTTGTAGCTAATACAAAAAGAACTGCGAACGATAGTATTGTTCTCCCGCCTACCTCCAAGTCAATTTTCTAAAGTTAACATATTCGATTAATTTTTAATATTTTTTATAGATAATTATATGGATTTTCATAAAACATTACTTATTGGGGAAAACAAAGAGAGATAACTCTAAAATTTTGGTAAAACTTGTGTTTTTCACTATAGAAATCAACGGAAAACGGAAATTTTTTAAAAAATCATCTCCCCCCCCCCCCCCCCGTGTCACAGAAATTCCTTTTTACAGGTAATTTGGAATGTTATTTCACAAATTCATACCAAAGCTTTTTGTGTGACGCGGGGGGGGGGGGGTACATATGTTTATTGACAAAAAACGATAAAAATGCTTATTTTCCACAAATTTCAAAGCGATTTACATCTGAAACATTATATTTTATTGATATATTTATGGTTTGTTTATTGGTCTAAAACATTAGAAAAGATATAAGGAACATTTAATCATTTCCAAGACTATTTCAAAATATGGTGATGCTTGAAACTCCGATTTTAGTGGAAAATATCGTCTACCCCCCTTTTTTCAAGAGCTGGAATTACGGATAATTTACTGTTTAGCACTGGTATTAAGACAATTATTCAATTTCCAATATTTACATTCGCTGTGTTTTTCTACAAAGCCAACTGTGAAATTGATTTGAAATTCATTTTTTTGTGTATACTATATAACACTTGTGTAGAACAAGCTCCACTACACTTATACAGTGTGTTGAGAAGTATATATCTGAAATGTTTCGTAAAAGGACTAAATATAAGTTTTTAATAATATTTTTTGGAAAAAAGGAATTCAGAACAATTTGAAATTGCCGTTTGATATCTTTAAAAATTTGATTTTGGTCAAAGTATTTAATTGTAAAATAAAACTTTTAAAAAATTGAATAGAACTCCATATTTTTATTTTTTCGTATCATGCATACTTGTACAAAGAACGATAACTCTTCAAACTTGGGTAATAATATCAAAAAGAGAAAATTTCTTTAACTAGTAGATCTATATCTATTTCAAGAAAAAATAAATAGAAAAAGTACGAAAAAAATCACAGAAAAGCATACTGGAGTAATAATCATAATAAAAGCATTCTCATTTTTGTCATAGTGTTAAATTATTGATTTTTGTCAGAGGATTTCAATAACGTTGATCGATGACGTCACGACTGCATCAAAGCAAAAAATTAAGAGAATGTGATGACGGCGCTGCTTGTATCCAGATAACTGTGTTTGAGAGGGAAATACTTTATAAATTGTGATTTATTAGAGAAAAGGAGTATTGATCAGGTGTATTGATTTAAAAGCCGTATGGTTTTCTTTACTGAAGACAGAAGCTGCGTCCTTATGTAAGTCAGGATTTCCTCTGATATTCTTGTCAACATCAAAGAATGCAAATATAAGTAATAAACAACGATTATTTAGTGAACATGGCGTAATGAATAGCAATAGTTCTGCTGGCATATTTTCCATGATGCGCTAGCGCGCATCATGGAATATGCCAGCAGAGCAATTGCTATTCATAACGCCATGTTCACTAAATAACGTTGTTTATTTCTTAAATAACTCACACAAAACTTAAAAACATTCCTTAATTGAACTGTTCTTTGTATTAAACAAAGATTTTATGGCCAAATTGCTATTTATATTGAATTAAATGGTTCCAAAATGTAGGCGGGAATCGAGAGTTAGCGTGCGTATTTCTTTATCCAATGTAAACCCATTTATCCCGTAGATATAACTCACTGGATATTTTTATGTCCTACAGCTGTGACATCTCAATGGATTTGGATTTGGATAGAACGATGAAGTAAAATTGAGTCCTATATAAAAACAGTGTAAACACTGATGGTGGTGTATGAAATATGGGATAAAAAGAATCTCACATGGTTTGTATTTGGATATGATTTTTATCTAACTCGTTTTGTTTTTTATCCCTTCTACAAAACTCGGGGATATAAAAAACAAAACTTGTTTGAAAAAAATCATTTTCAGCTACAAATCATGTGAGACCCAATTTGATTGAAGATTATTGAGGGGTGAATCGAATAAAGATATTAATTTTGTTCTCACCATCTTGCCAGAATGCAAGGCATGGTGAAGCTTTTTACAACAATTTTTATTATGATTTCAGAGTGCATCTACCCTGCTTCGTTCATCTTTGTTTGACCCTGAGGATGTTGTGCGCCATACAGCTTTTGATGTTTACTCAAGACACCCAATGAGGAAAAAACTGACAAAAGAGCAGGAAAATATGATTTTAGAGTAAAGAATTTAAGTATTTTTGAGAAAAATATGTATGAAGAAAACAATTGACTTTTGAACATAAATCAAATAGATGTGTAATAATGCATATAAATGAGAATTTTGATTTAAAAAGAGACATTCTCACTATTATTTACGTTTTTACAAATGATTTTGACATTAAAAATGCAAAATAAAACGTCAAAATATAATTTTAACAGAAAAAAGTATACGTATCCCATCGTAAGTCGTATTCGAAAGCGGTCTGCCGACAAGTTGTTAGAGGAAAATGATTTTGACGTGAACCTTTCTCAATATAACTGGGGGAAAAATCAGGGGTCAGGAAATATTGGATCATCCTCAGGACTAGATTCTGATCAAAGCGTTAAATTCCACATGAGTGAGTACAAGTAGAGATATACTGTAGTATATTGTGAAAATTTAAATTATGGTATTCATTGCGATAAAATCGAAAAAAAAAGCTACAACAGATTAATTTGAATAATTTATTTTATAGCTCAAGTTGAGAGTGTTGTAACTTTGAAAGCTGACAAGCAAAGTCATTCAAAAGCAAATGCTGGTTTTGTCCACAAAAGATTTGATAATCATAGAACAAAGATATGTGACAAGAAAAGCTTCCATTACGACCTGAATGTTCTCAATGTAAGTCCAATTTTTAGATTAACACATTTTACCAGAGATGCAATAATAAAAACCGAGGGTTGTGATAAAAAAAAATCCTAGATCAAAATTTATTGTCATTTCCCTTGTCAGTGAGATTTTATTTATTTACATTTATGTTATTATTTGTGTGGGGAAAGATGGACTGGGAAGATGGATGTTTCAGATACAGAATCTTTCCACTTAATAAAAATTAATTTGAAGGATCAGCGTGCATATGCTGTTTATATTTTAAAGCATGAAATAAAATGAACACAAAGTATTTTTTTCTAAAAAAAAACATTTTGAAATTATGAATTAGAAAGAGTTTCAAACCGATCGCATAATCAATTATTTGACCTTTCTGCACTAATAAAATGTGATTTTTCTGACATTGAAAATTTAATACGCAAGAAAATTTTTTTGAAGTCTTAAACTTTTTTTTCTGATTTTAAGCAAATAGGCCAATATTTAGAAAAGAACATCAAAAGTTGGGGTATATGATATAAATTTTCAGATATTACTAAACATGTGTTAATTTTCCACGGATTTTCAGAATATATTTACAGTTTTGTCACACTTCGTTGAAAAATTCATAAGAAATAATTAAATAGATTTTTCAGAACCAGCATAACAGATTCCACTGCAAAAACAGCTTTGTGTGCAACAAGCACGGAAAATAGGAATAAAAAGATTAACAGTTCAAAAGGGAAAAACATATAATATTTCTTCTATAGAAAAACCTTCCGCCACAAAATATATTTCCTAGATTAATTCTACTTGAATGGAATTTAATCGCTTTTTTTCATCGAATGTTTGCATTGGAGAATTAAGATTTAATGTTAGAACTTTAAAATGATGCAGGACTTTATAAATAACCAAAATCCGCTCTAAAGTTCAGGATCGAACGTCCTTAAAAAGTAAAGATGAATAATATTTAAAAAAAAAAAAAGACAGGGAAAATCATGGATCCTTGTATAAACACCAAAGGTTGGATTAGGTTAAAGTAATAGACAGCATTTCTGACAATGTTGAATAAATTGTTTAGAAAAAATAAATGAAAAAAATAAAATCAACAATTCTTTGACATTACAAAACATTTTTTGGTCATTTTGTAGGATTATGGGTTTAATGATGCTCAAGATGTAATGACAGAATATGACAAAATACAGCAGCAAATTACGGGCCCTATAAGAGATGCCATTAAAGGAATCAACAGACTGATATTTGGGACAACATCCGAGAACAAACTGCTGAAATCAATTGATAGTTTATCCAGAGCTTTGGCAAATTGCTATCACTCTATTCTTCTTGTTGATAACAATTTTACAAAAGAACTATCTGATATTGCACAGTTTAATGTTATATCTGATATCAAACCAGCTGTCAAATTACTTCAAGAAGTTGGATCATTTATAAAGGATATAAAGGATGACTTAAATCAATTTTACTTCGTAAGTTATCTTCCTAGAAAACAAATACAATAGCATTTTAAGCACATTCCAGTCTTCTTATTAATTGAATAAGAATAAATAAACGTTTAATAGTCTGCTTTACTGCAAATCTAAGGCTCGCTGATCAGACTTAAAATATTGGACATGCAAGAGGTACAGTGCTAATTCCCAACGAGGTAAAAAATATACTTTTTACGTCCAACAAATGCCCTGTTCCTAAAATTGAGAATTGGGAGAACAAAACCAGTTGTAATTGATAGAGGATAGGATGAAAATTAAGGTAACAAGAACATTAGGTATTGACAAAGATTAGGAGGGGTATAGGGGGAACAAAAACAGTATGAATTGACAAAGAAAAAGAGGAAAATAGGGGGAACGAAATCAATGGCATTTAATAAAGAATTAGAGGTGAATTGGAGAAACAAAAACAGATGTAATATGTCAAAGGATTTGAAGAGAACTGAGAGAACAAAAACAATAGGAATTGAAAAAAAAACACACGAGGAGAATGAGGAAACAAAAAACGTAGAAATAACAAGAGCTAGTATATGAGCTTTTAAGCAGTCGAAGAAATTAGAAAAATAGATTTAGAGCCGAGAGCAACACTTTGTGTACAAAAATATACAGTTTTCATCTGGGTAGGCCTAAAGTTCTCATACCATCAATGTTAATTTGTGGAGCTGCAGCTCTGCAGGTCGGTTTTCAAGATTACTTTTATGTAAACTTAAGGTTAATATCAATCCTTATTGTTATGCTTATATTTTTCTTATGAAGCATGTACTAAGTGCGGTGAATATAACATTACCAATGGTTTACGAGAATATGAAAGACTTATTTGATGGACTTGAGATGGCTTGGAATTTCTTCGATGACCCTTTAACTTCATTTAGCCGCCTAGAAATCGAAGTTTTACGGTATTTTTCAAATATTGTTTTAATAACTCTCTCTCTCTCTCTCTCTCTCTCTCTCTCTCTCTCTCTCTCTCTCTGTCTCTCTATGAGTGTGTTTTGAGCTGTGTGTAATGCGTGTTAAAATAATATAAATGAAGGTTATATATTTTCAGATAACGTGAATCAGTTGGTGAACTGGTGAATGTCAAATTAAAGATTGGGAAAGAAATGTATGACACCACTGGCAAGTATTATTATTCGCAAATGATGCCCCCATAGCTCCCCTTTCTTCTTTATAGGGTAAAATATAATGCAACCTTGCTTAACTTACAAATCACGAAAGTACAATTGAGAAATCACAAATTGACAAATCGCAAATGTACGAATAGGATAATTTACAATTAACAAATTGTGATAGAACCATTGAAAAATTATGAAATTATGATTTGCAGCTTACAGTTAAATTCAGGTTTACATGTGTACATTTTAAGAATTACAGAGTTGGAATTTTAAACCCTTTGACTTTCCCTATTATACTTTCTCAGATTTTATCAATCTTTTAATGTAGGACAGCATCCAACTTGGCTACTCGATGAGAGCGAATTTAACGCGTTGCTCGAACTGCTAGACACAAATGATCATAATCTACAAAATATAACCATACCAGTGTATGGTAGATCTAAGGTAAACTTAATACACATTATTTTATAGTGATAAAAGTATTATGAGTCTTTGAGAGAAAGGCGAAGTGGAATATTAGATTTTAAATGATATGAGAATATCGTTTTAATTCTTATCTAAAGTTATTTTTTTAAATTCTATTCATAAAGGATATTGTGACATCTCCGGTAACTGGTGCAGTGCAGAAAGCAAAGAGTTGGTTAAAAAATTTCAGACCAGAAATTTTTTCTTTTAAATCTTCATTGACTGATTTGTTTTTGCTGATTACTGAAGCAAAAGACAAATACATATATTTATCGAATGCGTAAGTATTTTACACAGTTTCAGTTTGACATATAAATATATTTATGTATTGTTCTATCTTCTACGAAATCTTTATATAATTTTTATGCCCCCGTAAACGAAGTTTTTGCCGTGTCCGTCCGTCTGTCTTTCTCTCTGTCTGTCTCTCTGTCTGTCTGTTTGTCCGCAAAAACTTTAACCTTGCCCATAACGTTTGATTTAGTGGAGCCATGACTTTCTATTTCACATGTGTATTTCTTGTGACAAGACCTTTCTTTGGGTACCACCAAATTTGACCTTTTGACCTTGACCTTGGAGTTTGGCCCACTTTTACATGAAAATTTTAAACTTTTACTTTGGTAATATCTTTTGAACAGTTGATACCAGGACATTTATACTTCACATATGTATTTTTGTTAAAAGACCTTTCATTGGATATCAACAACCTTGACCCTGTTACCTTGACCTTGTAGATTTACGTTCTTGTAAAAAAAACTTTAACCTTGGCCATAACTTTTGAACGGTAAGGAATAAGGCTTTCATACTTCATATATGTAATCCTGTGAATTAACCCTTCATGGAATACTGAGAACATTGACCCTTTGACCTTGACCTTTGAGTTTGACCTACTTTTAAAAAGCAAACCTTGACCATAACTTTTAAAGGGTTAGGGCTAGTGCTTTCATACTTTACATATTTAATCCTTGTGACAAGACCTTTCATTTGATTACAAGAATTTGACCCTTTGACCTTGGAGTTTGACCTACTTTTTAAATTTTTTTTAACCTTACCATAACTTCTGAACGGTTAGGGCTAGGGCTTCCATACTCTACATAAGCATTCTATGTGGCAAAACCTTTCATTGGATACCAATTACCTTGACCTTTTGAACTTGACCTAGGAGATTCCTGTACTTCTTGAAAAACCTTTAACATTGGCCTACTTTCACAATTTTTTCTCCAGTGAGAATACCCTATTTTTGGTACCAATATATCAAATTTGCATTTAAGAGAAGTTTAATCTTTGCTTTGTTGCCATATGGGGGCATCAGTGTTTCACAAACACATTTTGTTCTGTATTGGTACCTATACCTACCTACACCAAGACCTTTTTAGATTTCAAAATGCACAGTGTATATATGATCAACATGTTTTTTTTTAAATATTGTAGGATGCAGAAAGGAAGATTTCAAACACAGGCTATTTTTGGAAGTAAATTTGCTGCAGAATTTCCTAGGAAAAAAGCATCATGTAGTAATGGCTGTGGGTGTGGCATCTACGACAAACAGAATGGATCTAGAGGAATTGATCTTGTTCTAGATTCACAAAATTTAGTTAGTAGATTCTGAGAAGCTAGTACACATACATGTACATCAGTATTTTCAATTAATATTTCAAATTTTAAAAAGGCGGATAGTTCCAAGATTTGTTGCAAATTAAATGAGACATCCCATTGATGAAGAAAAACTGCTTTTATATGGCAGAAAGTTTTTAATACACATCCAATAGCTCTGGATTGGATACCTCTTTCATCAAACCCGTACAAGGAACTAGAAAAGATAAAGTTGATGAAAGATATATACCTTTACAATAAGTGTGTGTCTTTTCTAACAAAAAAGGGACATATCTTTATAAAGGGATTGATAGCACTTTTATTTCTAGGATTAAGATTTACATTTGGTAAAACTTTTAGACTATGAAAGTTTAATGTTTTACTATCAAATGGCTCATTCATTTTATGCCCCGCGGTATAGTTTTGTTTATACATTAAAACAAAGAACCCAGTAAGATATTACTCCGTTGGTGCTGTAGAGGAAATTTTTTATCAGAAGTAAATTAATATTTAGCATTCTTATTCTTTTTATACAGGATGTGGTTAATCCTGTTAGCGGTCATGCATTCAAAGTTGACAACAGTACTGTTGCTATTATACCAGATTCAGAGAACATGCAAATGTACATAATTATTGTCCGTAATGTACGATTTATTAATGAAAACCTTCAGAAAAATGTCGGCACTGTACTTCAGTCTGGAGATTTCCTTGCTAAAGGAGTGTTGCATGAAGCATGCCCCCCTCATATAAATGTAGCCGTTCGAGAACAAAATATGTTTGATGACACTGGTGAAGAATTTAATTTCATCGATCCGTCGGTATTCCTCTTGAAGCGTTTTCCTACTTCACAGTGGAAACAACACTGCAATGATTACTCATTTGAGCAAAAGGGTCAAGTGGCAGATGAGGGAGATGCTTCAGCTCATCCCAGGTCCAAACAGTCGGTCGTCCATAGACGGGGGTCAGATGAAGGGATCAAAAAAGATGTTAACAATATCAACTGGGGCAATTTGACAACTCTTCAAGCACAACCACTGATTCACAAAACAGATATTTCCAAGAAACTTTTGCAAAACCTTTTGGAAATAATTTTAAAGCAAGAGGACATCCATAATACAAGGTAAAACAACAGTATTTGTCGATCTTTATCTTTCTGTGTACACTTGTGATTCTCTCTTTTACAATCTGTAGTTTCACGTATCATATAACGTCTTTTGATTTTTATTCCAGCAATACTTTGAATAGATCAATTACTGAAGTATTGGAATCATTGCCTCGAGATCAATCTAGAGCGGCATTGGATATTTTAAAGTCTCTGGTTAACAAAACCCTAGAAAAAAACATGATAGGTTTCAAGGAAAAGGTTTTTAGAGTCTTAACCAGGGAGCAGCAGATTTCTTTAATGGAACAGTCTTTACTTCAAATTTCAAAAAGTAACAGCATTATATATAAAAAAAAAAACTTAAAATACATACATTAAGTTTCTTGTGTATAGTGTTTCTGTTGAAATGATTAAAGATAATTTAATCTACAAACTACAAATTTACAATTTTCATTTCAGTCACTGTTATTTAACTTGTTGTCCTTTTTTAGAATTATTGTTTTATCTGCATGTTGTTTATTTATTTTACAGAGTGTCCATCGTTAAAACATTCAATTCCTCAAGGTATCAATATTCTGTGTAAAGCACACTTTGACTGTAACGGAATGACATGTACCTTGGCACTTAAAAATGATGTAGAAATGATTGAAATTGACTTCACCTACAGGTTTGATCCTACAAACAGCCAGTTTTTTATATACGTCAACAATCGCCTTGAACTTAACATCACATCAGGTAAAAGGAATATTTTAAAAAAATAATTTTTGGGGCAATACTTTTATTGTTATATTCATTAAACGTCCTTTTGGAGTCGATGCATGAGACATTCAGACTATGGAAAGGTCTGTTTAAAATGATTGCTTATTGATATATTTCAAAATTCTTTTCTAGATACAAAAGAGATTAATGTTCATTTGGATGAAGAGAAATATGCAGTGATGACTGTTTCAATCATCAAACATGTTAACTTCACAAAAGTGAACTTCTTCGGCCAACTTTGCAATTATATGACATTTGATTGCTTTGAGAAAAATCAAATTTTGGGGAATATTCAGTACAAAAATATAAACCCGAATACAACTAAAACAATTAAACGCAAACGACGATCATCTAACAGTAAGTTATATACTTAAGAACTAAAGGTATCATTTTAAAAATATACTGAAAGGAAAAAGAAACGCATAGTAAACTTTTATATCAAATTAAAACTATTATTTCGACAATGTTTTCCAGTATTGTTATCAAACATTTTACTTCATCTTTAATCTACAAGTTACCAAAATCTTGTGTGACTTTGACTGATAATTCCTAAGTTATTGAAATTGATATATCGATACCCCCAAAAATTACAAAAAAAAATTCTCATCATCTCCCTTGCACAATGGTAACAGTCTTGATTTTCCTCTGCATTGAGTTTATCAGAGCATTTATCTTTCTCATGGGATTATTATTCAACCCTTCCGACGATAGTCTTAATGGTTGGGAGTAGCTGTAAAATACCAAAGATAATAAATCCCCCGCCAAGTGAATCCCACGAATTTTCGATTTAAGATAGAATTTACAGAATCCAGCTGGTTTACTACACGTGAATGTTTGTAAGAAAGTCTCGACAAACACTGGCTACATTTTCTCATCGTGAACATGCTAAAAACATTACGCATACGACGCGTACGTGCGCGTGTGAGAGTAAAATCTACGTAAAGTTGCCAAGCTCGCGCACCAAATTAGAGCAGAGATTTTCTGTCAGTGTTAGGGTGAAAATATCAGAATGATTGTCTGCTGTAAAAATATCGGTTTCAGTGATAATGCATTGATAATAACCGAGGTAGCATGATGAAAAGCCCTACGCGCCAACGTCACCGTCATGGTGTGTTGGAAACCTTCTAAGTTACTCTCTGACAACCGAAAATTTTTTTTGGTTGAAAAGTTAAAAACAAACTGCACAGCAACATGTTTTACCTTTTTATTCACTTCATGCAATTCAATTACTAAACCCTATGTAACTCCCGTCGGCCATACCATGGTTGCAAGAAATTTATACTGACTGCAAATATCGGAAAACGATGTCTATAACTCTAATGCATCTCTTGGCACTACAAAATGTGATCACAAAATTGTCATCCTCAACATGCACGTGTTTTTGCCTTTTTATCACTTCCCCTACCTGACGCCATACATTTCATGGTTGAGTAATTTTGACCAGCGATTTTAGTGCACAGTGACCAAAATACACATCTGACAAATTTTCATAATTTTTGGCCCATAGTTAAATATTTTTCTTTCTATTTTAACAATAAAATGTCTTTCTTTGTTTGTTATCTTGAATTAACGGTCGCAGCTATTGCAGAAAAAATTTACATAACCCGCTTACGCGGGTTATGCATTTTTTTCTGCAACAGCTGCTTCCGTTAATTCCAGTAATAACAAGCAAAGAAAGCATTTTATTGTTAAAATAGTATAGATACGCGTTGCTTAAATAGTGTTTAATATAAAGAGAAAACATTTGCAAAAGTAAATCTAAAAATTCAAATACATATAAATATTACACATTTATCTCAAAATATCAGTGTGATACAAGATAAATTTCAATTAGTGGTAAATGAAATAGGGCATTTATTATGATTATTTGTGAGAATTAATTTGATTATTTATTTAAATATGGTGTAATATATTTTCAAGGTATTGCAAATTATTTGAAATCAACAATGACTATCGAGAGAAAAAGTACATCGATGAAGGATATTCTTAAACAATTTGACGAATTTGAAGAAAATCATGAAATTACTGCCGGGGCATCAATCAGAATTTTTTCAAGAGAGGTAAGTTTCTTTTCCTTCAAAATAATCATGATAAATTAAAGTTATATATAAGTGTATATTGAAAATTTACTGTTTTAAATTCTTCGGATAGGAGACACCTGAGAGAGATGACGATTTTTTGGAAAAAGTAATCGAGAGAATTAAGGAAGATGCATCAAAGGTAAAAGAGAATATTAATATGAAAGATGCAACAAAAGCACTTAGGAACGGAGATACTTCATATTTCAAAAACATATATAACAATGTTAAGAATCAAGTGAAAGAGACCACAAAATTCATAAGCGATAAAGTTAATCAGGTTAAGAGTGCCATAGAATCGAAACGAAACTATATCGAGAAAAACGTAGGAAAGGTTCAAGTTCAAAAGGCGTGGGGAAATGATGACAATACAGAACATGGAAATGAAGAAAATAGTGGAAATGAAAACGAAGATATAAAAAAAATTCAGAAAGCAAACAGACTTCCAAAACCGTCTCTTGCATTTTCCGCTTCAGCATCAGTAACCATGTCACTTCAGGATATTTGTGCAGGAGCCAACGTGGGATTCAATTTTGATCTTCCTATTTTCCGACTGAGGTTTTATTACCCATGTGGTCCCGTATTTTTCTCAATGCGTAAGTTGATATTTGTTGTAATTTGGAATTACAAAATTAAATTCATTCAATGAAACATGATTTCATAAAACCTTACTAAATGTATTAAATGAATAGAATATTTTTTTTATAATACATTGTACATATAAACTAATTTGCTAGTCAAATATTCTGAAGATTTTTGTACCTACTTAGGATTAGGAGCAGATGCCAGCGTGGGATTTACAGCGGGGACAAGTTCCTGCATTGTAGCCGGATTCCTAAGGGTAGTATTCTAAAGAATTCATTCATATTTTCCTACAATACTTTTAAAATACAATTAAAAATTAGCCATTGCTTATTTATGCTTTTTAAAATTTTGAGATCAATTTGTAAAAATGTGTTTATTAGGGATGGCAATCGAATGCAGAATTGCTAATGGATAAACCGTAAGACATTCCGACCGATTTACCGGTTTATCGTATCAAATTACAAATATGCTAGATTTTTTTTAAAAAGAACATGTAGTCATTTCGTATGTACATTGAAAGACTCTAAGAGATAATTGACGTTAAAAACCTTCAATTTCTCCTGATTCTGTATCGGAAAATACATTGTTTTAAATTTCATTTTCAGAATGATTTAGAAAAAAAACTTCCTCAAGCTAATTTTTAGAGCAGATGTCATGCAATGTAAAATTGTAACAATAATAAAAAATTTTGAAATGTAGCTCTTAATTTGTAATGTCTAAAAATGTAATTAGATAAAGAACTCAATACGACAATTTCCATTTCACAGTGCTTTTAGTAATCTAGTTATAATTATTAAAAAATTATCGGACGGACCAGGAAACGGCATAGTGTTTGCATAATAATTAACGCTACGTTAACTGACCAATTACTCCATCAAATTGAAGCAAGAGATCTAAAATTATCTCCGAATACTTTTGTTCAACGCTAAATTTTTAATCTTATGTGCAGTGATTTCGTTTTTAAAAAGAATTTCAAGAAATGTATGTTCAATTGTATTTTTTCCAACTTATGCCTAGGTCACATTTAAGCCGATGATCGGGCGACTAAATTTTTCTGGTCTTGTCGGCTGAAAGAACATGATCGGGCGACACGGAGCAGTCACATTAACTCCTAGGAACACCGATCAATTGGATAAATAACATAAAAAATCTTTTTTCTTTAGAAATCAGCTATATTTCTCATATTCAGATAGGTGACATGAAAATTAATTGCAAGGCAAAGTGGCATAATTTTGTAAGATTGTGACTCAATGTTGAAAATTTGAGCAAAATTTTGTATAGAATTGCATAAAAAAACGACAAATGGCGCATATCTAAGCAGCAAACAATACTTAAGATTTTCCTTATGTCTTACGGATTAATTATTTATATTACTAAAAGTATTTCCGTTCAAAAAATATATATCAATTGTTATGGGTCAGAATTACCCGAAATGCCAGCAAAGATCAATAACACAATTTAAACTTAACAATAATTTATTTACAGTAATATATAATAAATATATCAAACATAAAGTACAAACTTAGCAAGAATCTAAAAATACATACATCAGAGTGTCCGTTGCTGCATACAATGTCCCAGTGAAAATATATCCCATTTATATCTCAATAGTGCTTATACGACAAAGTATTTATGCATCGAATTGACAGGGTATTTATATAGTATCATAAATCTAGAATATTCTAGAAATTATTAAAACATGATATTACTGGAACAATCTGGACATACACAAAATTTAAGAATGTTCTAGATCAAATGACTGAACATGTTGACCACTCTGGAATGTTCAAGAAACTTAATGTTACTAATTATATACATAATGAAACAATACACATCTCACAACACCTCCCCCCTTAAAAAGTTTGAATGTCAATGAAAAACTTAAATTGTAAAACATGTACATTAATACAAAATCTAGTATGTTTACGATACTCTTGACAAGGCATCTGCAATAACATTGTCTTTGCCTTTGATATGCTTAATTGTTATGTTGTATTCTTGTAACAACAAACTCCATCTAGTCAGTCTTTGATTCTTGTTTGACAATTTGTGCAAAAATGTCAGGGGGTTGTGATCTGTATATACAAGTATTGGATGCAAAGTAACATTCA